AACGATGAGACATTTAGTTCCAGATGCAGTCCTGCAGGTGTGCTACAGTCGTAGTTTTCCTAATTAATGGAAAAATGAAGATATCTTTCAGGAAACTTTGCAATTTCATTTAGTAACACGAAGGGACTAAAACAAAGGAGGACGGAGGCGTCGGAGGAGCAGTTTTTCCGTACGTCGACGTAAACACGTATTGCTTTACTCTGCTCCGCGGCTAACATTTGCTCCTACTACAAACTAAAATTGATTAGCGCCTTTTCGACCTCATGGTCAAGCTGAAGACAAGCACATGCGGATGTCCTCTATAGTTTGAACCAAACTCGCGAGAGTTCGACGAAGGTTGGTAATAACGTTGCGTTCTCGTTTGATTGTTATACCTCATTGACTATTAGAACGATTCATTGTAAGTTACTGTATAGAAAAACTTTTTCGCCACTAACTACTAAAGCCAGCTCCTAACCTTTTTTACAATACAACAGCATTCGATTTTATAGACGTGGGACGATGAACGGATTTATCAGTGCCATCAATGATATGTTATGTAGAAGGATGGACTTGTTTCGCGGGCGCAGATGTCCTGCACCTTCCAGAAACGTTCTTTAAGGGTTCATTATTTGCTGACAGAGTGAATGCATGTAATAGATATGCGCTAAGAAGCCTCGAATAGTATCTCTTCGAAGAAGTAGGGCGTCTTCCAGCAGCATGTTTAGTAACAATAACAAATGCCAGCCGCCCAGTAGTGATAGATATCGCGATGTCGACCTACGCGATAATTTTGTAAATGATTTAAGTGTGTAGGTTGGTTCATTACCAGTTGCGGACGACGGATCGTACGATGCTGGAGCAAGGGACATTCATCATGTTGTAGAGTGTACCAAAACAGAGGAAAGCATCAACATATTGAATTTCGCACACGCACCCGTTAATACGACGATACATTTTTACACACGGAGTATTTTCTCTGGCCGATTGCACTCATAAACAATTTAAAGAATTCCGTTTGTATTTATGATATTTATCTAAAAAATATTTGACTAAATACAGCATATTACTCAGCAGAGAATAGAAAACTCAGTCGTTCATCGTTGGAATGGAACAAGACGTTTACTACTCAGATGGTACGTAACAAAAAAAAAAAACATATGTGTGTGAAAAAGGGGACGAAAGAAGAAAAGTAGATACGTTCAACAATGCAGATTTGTCCATAACCCCCTGTTTTTCTCCCCGGAGCAAGGTGGATTCCGACAGAAATGAAAAGGGTAATTTTCACTCCGACTAATTATTTTTGAAAGGACACGCTTAGATGCACTGTTACGCCAGTATAGGTGCTCATTCGTGAGTAATTATCTGACAGCTATTACGCCTAGGTTAGTAAATAACAACACCTTACTCATAAGGTCCCATTAACTCGCCATAGGAGCACCGTTCTAACCGCGTCCTCTTACAAGCTATCAATGTACAAACTGAAAGTTGATCTTGCGAAACGGCAGTCCGCTTAGTAATTAAAAAATCACTACGTTTTACAGTCGGGTGGTAGACAAATGAATCCCTAGAATAACGGCCCGTAATTACTTCAGGCTAGGTTAAAAGTAAAAAAAAAGCAAAAACCTTATGTGTCATTTAACAAGATTACGATTAAGGCGGGCAAACAGTGTACGGCAGTGCCGTTAACGGATTAAGATTGCTCACGTTGAATACCATTAGCGATTAGTATTTGTTGATCGTTAGTTGTCTGGATAATGTCTTTATTGCGCGCTTATCTTTTAGATGGGTAAGCTATTACTGAATTCATGGTACACTCCAGACCTATGCGCCATGCCGCGGAGCATAGATTCTAGGCCTATTACGTTTTTTAAATGAGGTACAAGCATCGATATGCATCACCATTTTTCCGGGACGATGCCGAAAATACGGTATCATCTGTTGCAGGTTTTTAGTGATTTCGACCTCGAATTCTCTCTCCACGAAGTCCCTTTGTGTAAGACCTAACACGGCCTTGTTAATTATGCGATATAAAAGATACGAGGAAAATATTTTTTGGCATCCGCTGAACTCAGTTTTCAGAAGTCATTTATTTTCCAGAGTTTTCCAAGGTTTCGATGGCACTGCTCCTTTAGAATCATGAGAAACTCTCAAACTCAAACATTCCCAATGGAAGCTGACGGGCACAAAGGTCATCACGTACAGGTCATTCACCAATCCCTAAAATCTGAAAAAACTAATTTTGAGAAACTGTTTCAACAAGGCGTCGTCTTTGCTCAGTTTCTCCATGGTAGTAAGCGTTGATAGTTCACACGCGATATTTAAGCTGCGCACATTCTGTTAGAGTGCAGCGGCGCGGCTGAACACGTACTTGTTTGCCTTATGTTTGCTCGTGGTCACTATTAATATTACCTGCTCGGCAACACCAAAAGCTTTGTTGTTCTGATACAAGGCGGACAACATCCACCCTTTTGCGTTTCCTAGCTTTACTTTTACCTTTACCAGTCATACCAGCTCCAGCGACTGACTTACTTACCAGCGATCTTTTTTTCCTTTCCTTCATTATCGACCACCAACATATAAATGCATTAATGCTTCTATAAAAGCCCCAACCAGAACACCGAATCGCAGACGATTAGTGACGATGCCCTTCCTCGGATAAATGTATAGACACCACATTCCTCTGAGCTGAAAATACATCTTCATGCACAGCTTCGAATCCAGTCAGTTCTTTATAAATTATAAACTATTCGAATTTAATATAGCTATATGCGCTTGCTCATGTGTCCATCAAGGCGCCTAATAGCGGCATTCGTCATTACAAAGCGACCAAGGACTGCTTTGCTTCTTGTGCATGCTCTACGCTTCTGTGCATGGCGAGTTTCTGTAAATGGACTCTACACATCGTGTACAAGCAGTGCATGCCATTGAGTAGTACTAAATCTTTATCGCGACCGTTTTCTCTTTCTCTTTCGTGGTATATTCTATCGCATATGCCCGCATGTGTTGCGGGCGCTTCGTTTAAGCAATGTATTCTTTTGCTAGAAAACAATAGATCAAGTGACTGCTTGAAGCCATGGCGACTTCGGTTGAACTTTTTTTCGTCTTTGTTACGGGGACCCAAATATGAACACACCTAGCAGTGGCCACAAACGCCCAAGCAGAGACAGCTGCCTCTGTTACTAGGCTGAGTTTGGTAATGCTTGCCTAATGAGTACGTCAACTGGGCCTAATCAAAGGCACCCAGCAGGTGGTAATAACATGCTTCTGCAGTACTTCCATTTTCAATCATTATTTCTCTTGTGACCCATATGGTCAAATCTCCCCTACCACCACCACCACCATTGCCAAAAGTCATTTTCGCCACTCAAACGAAGTCCGAGGATTTCACTGCGACCGACTGGTATATACGTAAAAGGTCCATAAACAAATACAGAAACGCAGATCCAGATCGTGTACTACTGTCCGAGGTAATCTACGATGATAAGAAAAAACGTTTGAAAATAACTGCGATGATAGCGTAGTGGCAGAAAGCTGAAGATGACGAAGCCGATACTAGTAACCATTAAGAGTTCTTAGTAGAACTCTTTATGGACATCTAATACGATATCCGTAAGGAAGATGTCATCGATAAAAAATTGGACCTCCTGAACGTACTAGTTTTTTGCCTGAACTAAAATGGGTAAAAGATGCTTATAAATAAAAGTTTGCAAATCAGATGCGATTCCACGCGCTAGACAAGGCAATGCGTGCACTGCCAATTTGCCATGTATCTTATGTCGTTCTGGTGCTTGCTGCTGCTTTTGGGCAGCACATTTAAAAAAGTTGTGGGGCAATAACTTGTGCTTAAAGAGTACAAAAGGTGTAGGTAGCTGGCTGCCAGAACCACGCGCGTTCGCTCTGCTTGCTCAGCAATACAAAGTTTCATTTGGGGGGAATCGATTAAAATTCAGGAAGTATTATGGCGTCAGCCGTTTTAACCAGCTTCTTACTGTTTTCCTCTCATATCCATAATTACGTTTCCAGGTCTCTGAATACGAAAAAGAAACGTAAATATTACTCTCGGCGGAGAGAGACAAATGCGGAAGGATGAAAACGGAAATAACTAAACTAAAAAAAGTGAGGAAGGCAAGGAAAACAGACTAAAATTATTATTGATATTATTATCAACATACAGCTCCAGTCATATCTATTATCGCAGTGAATGAACAATGTAGTGAAAATTGCGATAGACTTTGAAGCAGGACCATCATCCACTAAATTGCTTGATTACCTTCAAAAAGCACTTGTATGTAATCGTTCTTCAAAGTCAAGTCTTCTCATTGATTCGATGTACATATCGTTTGCCCTACGAATAAATATTCCCCGGTACACTCTAGACTAACGTATCTTATATATATATAACTACGAATCAATAATGCCGATAACATTCTGAAACATAAGACCATTAGAATTCCGTTCAATGGAGGACCGTCTTAGGAACAAAGTTGAAAAATTACGCGGCCGGCACATAAAAAGACACATAATATGGATAGACAAAGGCCAATGCTGTTAATTGTCTTTTTGGTCCCCTGTATTACGAGGGGGTCATGTTGTGGTACGATCACATGTGTCGATGACTAAAAAACACGCAAGATTGAAACAATATATAGAACTTTTTTAAATCGTTCGGGCGACATAAGTAAGCAAATAATAAATTACAAAGATGTCAATTGAATAGAACAAAAGGCCGTCTATAATAAGACATGTAACAAGAATGCAAAAATTCCCTAATGCGTCAGCACGAGCTTGACATCGTTGTTTACAATATGTGATATTAATTATGATTTTATCTGCGAACAGCGAATTTGTTTCGCAATTTTAGCATTGCGGGCTGCAACTCTGTCACGACATGTGGTTCCTATGTAAAAATGACGACCCAAAGTAGAATACACACTTTCAGCATGATTTTTCTATTTAGTTATACGTCTAATCGTATATTGGAAATCAATATAATGAATACAACTAAAAGTTGTGCTCACCTATAAAGCTTGTCGAGCTTGTGCGTGTTGATTTCGCCCATCTCAAGATGGACCTCCTCAACTCGCTCGAAGTTGTTGCCTAAACTAGGAACAATGTTGTAGAGCCAGGACGAGTCCTTCGGCTGTGTGCTTCCGTACGTGGTCACGGTCGAATAGGGATCCACGTAAACAACTTCGGCCAGTAGCATGAAGACGACCAGGACGAAAAACACGCCAAGGAAGTAGACGGAGCGTGAGTTTCGTTCCGAGGTCTGGCGCGCCCGATGCATGGCCTGACGTACCTGACGCCGCATCAGGCGCCCACTTCTGCCTGACAGCAGCATGCTGTTTGCGAGTGCTAGCGTGCCGGGCAATTTTGGGCTCGAATTAAGCTGCACCCTTTGACTAACTTCTTCGGCGTATCTCACGAGGCCGTCGCCGCCACTACAGCTTCTGTTTGGCTCATCATCACAAGTACGATACATAGACGATCACTTAACATTATCGAAGATATTGATCTAACACAAGGTGCAGATACATACGAATTACTTAACGCTGTCTACGCACGGACCGCTTTCATTTGACTCTTATGATATATGCTGCTGCTGCTGCTGTAGACCGCAAGAAATGTCTGCTGGCTAATGCCAAAAATAAAGAGCGCCACAGTTGGAAAAGAGCACTAACCACTGACCAAATTGATGAGCCACGTATGTACACAAGAAATCGAACAGTGCAATGTCAACAAAATCAATAGTCAGACGGTCAGACAGATGCATAACAATAACAACACTTCGTTGACCTTATCAACTGGTAGAACTACACTCACGCTGGAACCCACATCACCATGCAGATTCTTATATTGCGACGCTTTCTGAGAAGACACGAACCATGGTCGCGCGTAAGGTAAAACCGCGCACCCGCTCTACTCTTGTTGGCTGTATTTCGGGCAACAACGATTTCGACAAATAAGCGTAATACTATGATTTATGTGTACGCGCTCCGAAAGATAAAAAAAACCGGAAAAAAAACAGCTTAAAAAGAGACTGCCCGACAACCCGGGCGCGGCCCACACGCGACCGCGTGCTAACAACAACCGTCACCCCTGTAGAAACGGGCCCTGCAGGCAGCTATGGTGGTTTGTCTCTCTGCCAGTGGTATGCGTGGCCGGAACACCTAAAAGCACTGCGGGGGTTCTATGGACGCAGCCATGTTTGTTTGATCCAGTCAGCCGTAGGGAAAGGACCGTAAAGGGAAAGGGACTACCCCTGCTTCGCCCTAACCTTTTCAGCCTGCCCTGCTGATCTCAGGGGGAAGACAAGACGGCTATGGGTAAAGCATGAATGCCACATAGCTTCTCTTACCACAGTGGGCTCCCAGGATTGTGTAGCCTTAAAAAGAAGTCCGTCGGTCAGCCGCGCTCGCGCACCCCACTAGTAAAAAGCGAAAGCGCGGCAATGTTCAAATGTAATGAAAAATCTTTTATTGGACGCTGGCGAAAGTGCATGATGCTTTACAAAATATTGATATTTGTAGTAGATGTAGTATAATCTCTGTTTGCAGGCTCCGGGGCTTTGAGTAGCAAGCAAAGACTGACTGCGCCACGAAATACTAACCAAATGATCTAGGGACTTTAATGTATGTAGATCATACGTTACCAGCATTAGAGATTGAGGCAATATAGTATATAAAGGTGTGTTTATCATTAACTTTACGAATTAAATACCGTTATGAATGGTGGTTGATGGTTCTCTTTGAGCGTGTATGTACTGCTCGCCTTTGACATCCTAAGGTAGATTCGGTGACTCGACGAAAATATTTTATTTTTAGAAATGCAATGATTTATGGTCAAAGCTGCGATGCAAAGAACAGCGAGTGCCAGAAAACAATGACTGCTCACAAGCATACGCTCCAATCAGCCTTCGTATGGTTATATTTGAAACTTGAAATAGGTTAAAAAAACGACCACAGCTTATAAAACACATATCAAAGTAACGACATCAAAAGCCCGTCCGCTCAATTTTCGTCGATGTGACCTTACAACCGACATTTAACGAAATTCGAACTTCTAGAACAATTGCTACGAGGAGATCGGCCACGTTATTTCGGAAACCACTTTAGACCTCGCTCACTCCCGCGGTCTGATATGCTTTCCGTTTTGATAGTTAGCTTGCCAAACAGGAGACTGGTTACATTTATATAGTTGTCAAGATAATCTTTAATAAAACGCCAACATTGAATGTTAGAGCAGTACAACGACGATACACGGTGGGTAGGCTGCTTCGATTTGGAGGCATCCAGCATTCGTCTGCATGTTTATGCATAATTGTACCATCTCAAAATGAAAAGTGTCCTTGTATATGTAAGATGTATGTAAACAACGCATAGATTTCGTCAGCTGAAACTTCCGTCGCATAAAACTTAACTTAAAATAAAAGCCTTTCACTTTACGTTGATATAATTGTTAAGTACAACGATGCATGTCAATCTAGATGAACCTTAGAGTGGGTTTTTGTGCGGGCGAAAGTGGATATTTCCGTCAATTTGAATGGAGCCTGCTCTTCGGAACGTCACAATCTTTTTTTTTCGAAAAAATATTTAGTACCTTAAGCTACATATGCGTCTTTCGAATGAGTGCCAAAGATTAGGATCGCTGTCTTGTACAACCGATATAAGATTAAGAACAATACAGAATATACTCCCGTTTTTGAAAATTGTACTCCCATTACCTTGCTGCAGAAGTTCTGTTTTGATTGACTTCCGATCGTATTCGTATGCTCGAAGAAACAAGTACTTCTGACTTATACCATTATCTTGATAGTAAACGCAGGCACCTAATGTAACGCTGTTCGCCTAATGGGCTATTGACTGTGAAGTAGTCGCAGCATCACCGATTCGTCGTAGCTGAACACAGCGCCCATACGGTAGCGAGAAGCATGTAAAATTTACATTACATAACGAGAAAGGACTAAGTAACGTTTCAAAATGCGAAACCTGAGGTACTTAAAGGTCGAACGGAATCATGCCTCAATAACACCTGAACATATTTTTCAATAATTCACGTCCTTATATATATACACAGAGAGGGAGAGAAAGCACTAAAGATAAAAACGTATACTAAAATGCCATCTACGTATCGATAATTTTACTATTTGAATGCTGTTATTATAAAGACTATAACTGCACTTGGATGGAACCGTTCTACGGGCTAAACGGCGAGTACATATACTTCATCCAATATACTTGCAATAATGCATACATCAGCATTTTGAATATAACTCTTTCCAGACAAGAGATGCCTTATTTGTTAAAGGTGAACAAAATGTTGACACCAAGGGAAATAGATATTGTCGTCCAGTTTGGTTTTCAAATAGCGAGCTACAGCTCTCAGAGCTTTCAGGACTCGACGGTCTGTGTAAACCGTTGAAGCCACATAGCATGCTGTCAAATGGACCAGTAATTAACTTGCCAAAGAACTAATCTTACGCCTTTCAACTATTGCTCTCTACGGTATATGGGTACATAGTACTCGCACATGAGAAGTAGTTAATTACCATTCTAGAAATCATTCAAAACGAGGGCACTACACTCCATCTCTATGAGTCAGATGACACATTTAATGAACTCAGCTGGTGACATAAATTAGCATTGGCTACGAGAGACCTATCGGCTGGTAACTGACCTGAAACCAATCAATAAACAGTGCCGGTTCCCCGTATACCTTGAACGCTGACTTGCAGCGAAATCTGATCGCAAACAGGCTTAGATCGATGAGTATTATACGATTTTTTTCAATAACTGCCTAGTTCATCAAGCGCAATCTGAAGAATAGCTCAGTGCATAATAGACCTTATGGTCTAGGTCCGAATTCGGGCATGGACACACTTTGTTGTATCTTGGAAGCTAACCATCCATACGACGGGCTGACGGTAATGCTATACGTAAGACTCAAGAGGGGTAACGGCCAATGCCACACGATTCATTGAGTTAAGCATATTTTCCGAAGCTTTCTAGCCTCCAGAAGAAGGCTGAGCTGTTTACCGAGCGCTTTGCGACCCGCTCACTTGACTTGAAATAGTATTTAGAGATTTTAATCACAGGATTCGGTCACCATCTTGAAAATTCGCTCTCTACAATCGTTCAATACAAACGTCTTTCGCTTGTGACAGCTATTCTAAAACTGCGTCCGATATCATTAGAGTCCAGGAAAAAATCCTCCCTGCGCAGATACAGACGCCTTTTTTACACCTTCATTTTTTACTTGTCCCAAAACTCATCCTACGATGCACCCAACGCAAATGGTATTTTTCAACTTCGGGCTAGGTAGCTAACAACGACAAGAATCGAGATAAGAAGAATATCAGGCAGAGTAAGCTACACTAGGTGAGCTAGAAGCAAACAACCATTATTTAAATTATGTGCTAAATAGCACATGGCACTTGTTTTGTGCAGCAGAGATGGCACGTAAGTTATTATCTTTAATATAGAATCTACGCATACTATTAACTCGCCATTCATAATATTGTAGTTTACAACCTGGCTACCAAATACCATCAGACATATCCAACTCGAATAAAATGGCCGTAAACTTCGTCTAACAAGTTGTATGTTGCATATTAACCGAACTTCCCTGTAGGATTAACAGATTTATCCTTTGTCTTATGGAAAGTCATTGAAATCGAACCCGAGTTCGTGACAAGTTGAAAGGATTTCACATCTAAAAACACGTTACCACACGTGGTTATAACCTATTGCATGTAGGTAATACACGTTTCATTTTGCTACAAGAAATATTACAAGGACCGACCGAAGGTGCGCAGCAGGTTGTCATGCAGACTGGGAAAAATTAATGATAAGAATATTGTGGGATCAATGTGTCTATTTCAATTTTCAGTTCACTTCATAGAAATGTTTTTCTTTTAGTTGCAAAGATTTGAATTGAACCAGTGCTCTAAAAAAACAGAATCAACAATAGTAATTACGTTTGCAGCTTCGCTCTCATACTTTTACCCCATCTTGTTGCTAATAAACATTATTCTGCTACATATGCCTCCTTTATTTGGCTCAGCGGAGATATGTGCTTAGTTTGATTAAGTCGAGATGGTAAATTACCTCCGATAAGGCTGAACTATCTAACTGAATTGGCGAGAGGATACGCTTTAGCCATTCAAGTTCAATTGTCGGAACTTAGCTCTAATACTAAAACTTAGCAGACATTATGTCGGCACTCACCGACTTGCTCTGTAAAGGGTCCAGAACCGCTACTTTTAAAGGAATCCTTCGCACCTCAACACAACAGTATTTCATTTATCGATAAACCATAATAAAGCTCAGAGCAAGCCATTGTCATTCAAGAATCGCAGTAATTAATTCAACTTGAATATAAGTTATGCCGGTTTTAATGTTCGAGAAGTTCTGTAACTACATCTTTGCTCGGTACAGTCCGCGACCTAATTAAGGACAAACTAGTGGCATTCGGTACCGCGGGAAATTAGGATAATACGCCCGTACCTGCATTCAATTATGTAAGAAATACTAAATTATGCAAAAATCCTGCCCCTATTGTGGTTACATATGTACACGTTAGTGAACGCCGCGTTTTGCTTCTTTACCCACATTAAAAGGCGTGTAATAGGAGGGTCATTAACTGTTCGTATACATATTAAAGCTGCTTCGAATAATACTATTGGTTTTCGTAATCAATTGAGAGTAATTAAGAAATGAATTAGAACTATACCACTTTACTAGCTAGCCGGGCATACTATTTTCCTACACCAACTATGACTTATAAAAATCAGAGGATGCATGTCCTTCAAGGAAGACAACGTGAGTTCCTGCACAATTTCTTCATCCTTGTTATTGTTCTCTCAGCATTTCCTATCGTATTGCATGCCCTAATGCGTTCTAGATAGAGCTTTTTTTATGCACTGTCCCGAAGCCAAGCGATCGGTACGTCTGCGTCTGTCTGCATTCACAGCGATTGTTTCAGAACTGCTATCCGCGGCAAAAGTCTTCAATGCTTGCAAAGCTTTTCGTTAAAATAACGCTCCCTGTTTCTCATCTTATTCATTCAAGTGCGAATAGCTTGTGTGTAGCACCGTTGGTATTCCTATAAGGTTGTTAATAATAAAACGATAGCGTACGGTGAATAGCACGATTGGCTACGAGCTACTTTTCCAATTCATAGGTTGATTAAGGTTCGATTTTACCATGAGCATTTCTGTAAATGAAGACAGGAGTTCCGTTTGCATTGAAGCAATCGCGGATAGTTCACTTAGCGAAGGAAAAACTTATCAGAGAACTATTTTTGCTTATAGCTTTTTCTATGTAGACAAAAATGTGGAAATGATTGCTCGCAATCGTGTTAGCAACGATAGAGAAGTTGAGCGACATCTTAAGTTAAGCGATCTAAATGATATTCAAGATTCAATAAAGTGAACATTTCATAGCCTGCATTTATCGATAGGCATCAAATGATAGAATCCATAGACATTCTAAATAGGACACTTCTTCGTAATGAAATCGCTCGTTTATAAACAAGGACGCTTCAATACAGGAGAGTTACAACGGGCTAAGTAGATATCAGAGTTAAAACTCATCTTCTCGTCGTTCTCTCCATATCTCAGGAGAACAATGAAAAAAACAGGAGGAGAGTGAAGCCTGTATGACTTCAGATGACTGGTAAATATCGAAAAAACCTAATGATTTAGGTAAAAACCGCCTCGAAGTAAACCGATGTTTTAAATTAAATTTTGCCTGTGGGCGGATTGTGGACTGTTCTGCCGTGCGCGGCAAAAACTTTGTTCTGATTAATCGTAATCTGCCCTGCTTCTGTCGGAACAAATCATATATTTCGTTAATTTATGTTAAAGTCTGGGTATGGTTATTGAACCGCCATATTCTGCAATGTAAGAATGCCTTCTTTAACAAAAGCATAGAAGCTATAAAGTCTAAACTCGGCAATTGAGGAAGTCGTTGTTGCACTTATAAAAATGTTAAATAGGTTTCTTTATGCTAAAAAAATATGAATGTTTTATAAAACACAGGAATTCACAAGGTTACTCACGGCAATAATTTATTATACAACCAAGTGACCCTGAAACAATTTTCCGGTACTGAATAGGTTGTATTGGAATTGTGCGCTTTTTGTACGTTCATGTCGCGTTATCCTCTAATGGAAAATGCTTTCAAAGGATGTCATTTCGAGGTTAAGTATAACTTCCCGGAAGAACCATCACTTATAGCAAGGTATATGGTATGAGGCGCTGTGACGTTGCTAACTTAGCACCCCTAAGCCGTAGAGAATCAGAACGCGTACAGTGAATTCATGTATATACT